TAGCTGCGGTGCTTGCCCTTGGCCCAGATGGTCATTTGGGTGAAGCCCACCAGAGAGAAGAGGGCCACTGCAGGGCAGAATGGGGTCAGGGAAGATGCACAGCCTGGGGTGGGGACAGGGCCCGGCGGAGGGAGGGAAAGTGGGCTCACCTGGGAGACACTGTGTCATGATGGCAAAGCCAATCCAGGACCCCACCTGTGGGCACAGGGTGGGAGGTGAAGACAGGCAGGACTGGGCAGGCCAGCTGTTTTGTCGAGGCCTCACCCGCCCCCTGGGCCACCTCCCTCCCAACCTTGTCTTTCCAGGTAGAAGGTAGGAACCAACCTTTATGTCAGAGAGGCCCCACGTAAAGTGGGGCTGCGTGATGAAGCTGCCCCTTGGCCCTCAACAGCCACAAGCCCAGCCTCACACAACTCCCAACCCCCAGAGGCCACAGTCTGCATCTCCACATGCTCAAACTACAAAAGCAACTGCTGAGCCAGGCAACTCCCTACAGAGACTGGCCCCTCCACATGGAACCTGAAGCCCCACAAGGGAGCAGGGAGTCGGGCAAGCCCTCACCTCATAAGTGTAGTTGGGGCAGGACACCAGCAGGAAGAGCCACGTGAAGGGGTTCTTAGTGGGGTATGGGATCTTCCTGGTCTTGGATCCTGACGGGCAGGATGAGAAGGATGAGTGAGGCCTCCTGGCCCAGCCTGCCACACCCCCTGCACAGAGCAGGCCACTCACCAGCTGGCCGCAGGTCCCGCAGGGCCATGTGGATGGAGAAGTTACCCAGTTGGCAGATCTGTCAGAGAAACAGAGTCAGCCCAGAGCCACCCAGACTCCCCAACCCCGCCGTGCATACCAGCCTGCTTACCACAAAGATGGCAAGTGCCAGCTTAACCTGCTGAGCTCCGTAGGCTGAAAAGAGAGGGGAGGCCTGTGAGGGAAGCCTGGTGGGGGGATGGGAGCTCGCAGAAGCAGGGTCCCAAAGCCACTTACTGGGAGGCGTGTAGAGAGGGTGGTTGATGTAATAGGCCATCCACGCAGCAAAGCCCCAATAGTAGGTGCAGTTCTGAAAAGGAACAGGGCCAGGATGGGGCCTAGCCCAGTGGAGGGTGGAGTCTAGGTGGGCCAGGTGAGGGGCAGGAGGAAGCAGGGCCCCCAAGACAGGCAGGAGAGGGCAGGGCCCTGTAACGGAGGCAGGGGGCGGGGCCAGAGTGGGCGGGCCTGGGACACTGGCCCAGGGGCTCACCTTGAAGATGTTGCGCAGGGGCATGGTGCCATGGGAGAAGCGGTGGACGAAAAGCGTCTCCAGCAAGCGCTTGATATAGTGGAATGAGTGGCAGATGCAGGCAAGACTGGGAGAGGGGGAGCTGGCTCAGAGGCGGCCGGTCCACAGGCCTTTCCCCTACCCCCCTTCACCCCTCCAGCCTGGCCCACTCACTGCACCACTGTGTGCCGGCTGGATGTGAAGTCATATTTGTGGCCATAGATGAAGGGAACCCGGAAGTAGAAGAGCAGGTAGATGAAAAGGGGTCCCGCGTACTCTGTCAGGAAGACCTGGGAGAATGGGCTCAGGTGAGTCACCCCAGTGTGGCTGATGGGAGAGGGGACTGTAGGTGTGGGTCAGAGCTCACCGTCACCCAGCTGATCTGGGCCCCCAGGTCCCGGAAGTACAGTGTGGCGGTGGTGCCCACAGGCAGCTTCTGAAGAACGTCCTCATCCTTCAGGGACTTGCCCTCTGCAGAGAGGCAGGCCACGACTCAGGAGCTACCCAGGCCTTCGCCCACTGCCACTGGGGTGCCCAGGGTGGCCAAGCGACAGCTGTACTCACTGGGGTCCAGGCGGAGGGACTGGCGGGCAGGGTACCACTGTGGATCTGTGGGTAGAACAGGGTGTCACAGCACACAGCCTGGCAGGGCCCAGGGACCCCACGCTCCTCCCACCGAGGACAAGGCCTCTGTGGCCTGTGTGGCTCCAAGACACAGCACAGAACACAGGCAGAAGTGGGATGTTGTCCTTCCGAAAACCAAGCAAGGGCGTTCCTGTCAATGGCCACACGGGGGCGCTACAACAGACAAGCCCAGAAAGTCCTGGGCCACTGAAGGCATCTCTGCAGGCCCTGGGGAAAGAAACTGGCAGCAGGTGTCCCACCCAGAGGCCCCTGCTCCGAAGGGCTACAGGAGGTAGTGTGACTGGGCCCCAGACTCACGGCTCTTAGTGAAAAGGTTCTTGATCTCTGCAATGGTGGCATGAGGTTCCACCTGAGGGAAGCACAGGCCAGGTGCAAGTCAGGCTCCCTCCTGCTGAGGTGGGGATGGATCGAGGGCCTGGGTAGCTGCTATGGGGGTGGGAAGGGGTGGAGTCCAGCCCCCACACCCACATGGCCGAGTGGAGCAGCAAGGATCGGCCAGAGTCGGGACAGCAGTGGACCTCTGGGCCCAGTTTTACCAGGCAGCCAGGGTGCCCCCAGCTAGGCTGGGAGACCGTTCACGTACGGGAAGCTGGGCCTGTTTCTCCGCCTCTCCTCTGCACCCCACCCACAACTCCCCCCGCCAGAGCCCAGGCCAGACCTCCCTAGGAAAGAGAGCCCCTTCCCCTGGCCTGGCCTCAGAAGGGGCAAGGTCACAACTCCACCCCCATCCCAGCCCGAGGCCTGGCGGGCTCATGGGGCTGCTTCACCTCCTCCTGCACCGGGAGGCCAACTCGTGGCCACACCCAGAGGCCAGAGCTGCCCACTCTACCTTGAGATGGCAAACACAGGCCCAGACCTGAGGACAGTCCCCCTCATGCGCACTTCTCCCAGGCAGAGGGTGTCAGCACACAGGCTGGAGGGGCACTCCCACCTCCCTCGGGGCCAGAAGCCCCCACAAGGAATGGGGTCATAGGCCCAGCACCCCAGCCCACTGCAGCTAGCATTGCGGTCCTACCTTGTCCAAGAAGCACAGCTTCTCCCGAGTCTTCGCATCCAGAATCTCCACCTCAAAAAAGAGAACACCCTTTTTAGGTTTCTTGACCACCTTTGGGGGCGCAGGCCAGGGGAGGCCATTGAGGCCGAGGCCAGGGCCAGGGCCAGGGCCAGGGCCCTGGCTGGCCTCCCGAGCCACCATGCTCATACTCAGGTCCATGCCGCCGTGCTCTGCCCGCGAAGCCAGCGGCCCAAGCCACCGGCCGTTAGTCCCCACCACCGACCTACCCACGCGCAGCGCTCTGGGCCAGGCCACGGGATCAAATTCTGCCATGGTGCTGGAAAGGAGCCCACGCCTGCCCTGGCACTGCTGCTTCTGTGCAGCTGTAACCCGAGTGGCCCCACAGCGGTGCCCAGCTAAATATAAAACTGCCCAGACTGAGTCCCCCAGGAGCTGGGTCACCATGAAAGTGGACACAGTCCCCAAAGAGCACCAGGGGATGAGATCCCAGAGGAAGGCATGAAGGTGCCTCCCAGCTCCCCTCCCAGTGCAGGGTAGGGGCCAGCCTTGGGGAGGAGGGTGAGAGACCAGCAGGCAGCCCCCGCCCCGGCACCCGGTTCAAGCTGGCAGAGTTCACTGGACTTGGAGAAATCCCAGCTATTTTGAGAATCCAAGAGAGAGATCATCCATTTCCCCTTCTGAACTGTGAGAGACACTCGGATTATTTCCCTTGTGCATTTGTGTTCCTAGGGAGGTGACAGATTCCAGAGCTATTGGTGCAGAAAACCAATCTATGTGTGGAAAGGGTCAGGAAACCGGGAAGTTTCCAGAAAGCACCCCAGCCTGGGCTGAGGCCTCAGCCCCACTTCCCTGACCTTCCTCCCCACACAGTCTCACTAGATCCACCCAGACCATGTTCAAGGCCACCTTCAAGGCAGCCTCTGCATCCTGTAAGTCCAACATAGCTGCCTTGTCTAGGCCCCGAGACCCTCAAAGCCCAGAGCACGCAGCCTGCACCACACATGATCTCCCTGAGCCCCAGACGGTGGCAGAGCAGAGAGGCAGTGCTGGGAGGAAAGCAGCTGGCGGGGGTGGGAGCAGAATCTGACGCCACAGCGGTGAAGCGCAGGAGAAGGTGCAGTGCAGCCCGGGGGCGGGGGGTGGGGGGTGCTGATCCTGAAAGGCCTGAGTGCCACTGAGCTTAGCACAGGCAGTGGCAGGCAAGGCTGGGTCTGTCCCCAAATCGGCCACTGAGCAACAGGTGCTGAGGAACCTTCCCACCCCTGGTGGGCCCTCATTCAGTGGCAGTTGGGGAAGAGGAGCAGGACACAAAGCCCTAGGCAGGGCCCCAGCCAGGCTCTCTGAGGGCATGCCACCCACCCAAAGCCCTGGAAGAGGGCTCCCCTGCAACTGGGGCCCCCCTGAAGAAAGGGGATCTCCCCACACACACCCCCCAGTGACAGTGGTGGGGCAGGGCATGCAGTGGGCGGCACATAGGACTGAATCTGGCCCTGCCACAAAGTCACGTCTCTCTGGGCTGCAAGCCAGGGGCAGACGGGAAGGGGAAGGGGTGTACGTCACAGGGCTGTGAGGGTCCCATGAGACAATGCAAGTGAATCGCCCGCAGGGGCTGACAGATGCGAGTGCCCCAGAGCCTCGGGCCCTGTGGAGCTGCCGCGAAGGCAAGGGCATGGGCTGGGGTTCAGATCCCAGCTCCCTGGCTGGCTGCAGCACCCGCCCCCGCTGTGGACGTGTAGACGTGAGGGTAGGAGACGGCCCAGGACCCAGGAGGTCTTGGGCAAGCCACCTGTACTTAACACGCTAGAGAGAGTTCCGCCAGGCCCTGTGGCCTTGGGGCGCGGGTTACTGATCCCCTCTGAGCCACAGGGGTAACAAGGCCAGCCAGAGGGGCCAGAAACAGGGAGCTGGTCATCGCCTGTAGTACTGGGCCCATGAAGGGGACTCATGGGAGAGGGACGGGGCACACACGGAATGTACTGGAAGGGCTAGAACACCCCGTGGCTGCAGGTATATTAATAGTTGCTGGGTCCCAGGCGGGCAAGGCCTACATGCCTTCAGTGCCTGTGTGGTCCACAGAAAGACAGCACCGAGCCTGCAGGGAGAGAGGCCTCCAAGTTCCTGCTGAACCACTCAACAGCTTAAAATACAACCAGCCCTCTCCCTGCCTGCCAGCTGGTGGGGAAGGGCTGAAATCCTACCCTCCAGGACCAGGGCCCAGGAGGAGAGGACGGCTGTCGGGGCCCCAACTGGCTGCTGGGAGAGGAAGCTGGACAGCAGGCAAGTGTGGTCAAGAGAGGGGCCACACTCCCAGCAGCCACTCCCTGGGCCACTGCGCCCAGGCCGGCCAGGCCAGAGGACAGGAGAAGCTGAACCCTCAGAGGTAAGCCCAGCCCAAGGGGCAGCACCAGCGCCCGCGGCCGCCGGGGTGGGGGCTACCCCAGCACCGGCCCACCTCAGGAGGATCGGTCCTCGTTTCCCATTTCCTGTCTCAAATACTGGGACCCAGAAACCATCTTTACTCCAAGAGAGGTCTGAAAGACCCTGAGGGGTGGGGGAGGGGGGATCCAGAAGCTCTCCATACTATTTCTGTAGCTCCTGTGCTTGTACAGTTATTTCAAAATAAAAAGTTAAATAAAAGTTATGCTAGGTAGGAAAAAACAAAGTTTTGTTAGGTGATAGAAGCCAGACACAAAGGTTCATATTTTATATGAAACGTCCAGAACAGCTAAATCCATAGACAGAAAGCAGGCTGGTGGTCGCCTGGGGCAGACAGAGGGATGGGGGAGTCCCGGCTAATGGGGCTTGGTCTCCTGTTGGGGGGATGGGAAGTTGTGAAACTAGATAGAGGCAGGTGGTGGCACAGCAGTGTGGATGTGCTAAGTGCTGCTGAGCTTTTCACCTTTAAATGGGTAATTTTGTTATGTGGATTTCATCTCAATAAAATTTTTTAAAGGGGGAGGCCTACAAACAGGTCCCAATTACCCATCAAAGAGAAAGGTCCCTGGGCAGGGAGCAGCAGAGGCTCCTCACCCCGACCCCCACCCAGATTGAGGGCCTAAATGTGGGGCCCTGTTATGTGCTTCCCCGTCTGCAGCCCCTGAGCTTACCCGCAACTGCAACCCACCCACCCCCTGCCCCGTGCCCAAGCACACCTCCCATGCCCGATGCCCGACACACACACCCCCACCCCATGCCCGCCCAGCCCTGAGGCCAGCCTGGGACAGGGGCCCAGCGCAGGCCCCAGGGCCAGGGTCAGAGGCACAGGCAGCCGCTGAGCGCAGACAGGAGAGGCAGCAGGCCCAGGCCCCATCCCTGGGGAGAAGACGGGTGAGGGGCAGGGAAGAACAACACGTTCCACTCTGTGGATGAATGAAGTAAGGCCTGTGAGAGGGTCACTGGCCCAAGGTCCACTGATGGCTGCAGACAGGGAGCGTGGCCCTGGGGCCTACAGGGGACAGAGGACAAGGCCAGAGCAGACACCCTGGCCTGGGGTGCATGCGGTAACAGTGCCACTAGCCTGGGAGGAATTCTCACCCCGAGTCCTGAGATCCTGGGGCTCAGCCAATAGCAACTCGTGGCAGCACGAGGTGGAAGAGACGTGCGGAGAGGTGGCCAGGGCAAGGGGCAAGACCACAGCCCACCCTGCAAGAGGGGAGAGGCAGAGGCCACACTGTGGTCTTCCCCAGCCCAGGGGGGGAGCACCCGGAGCCACTGTCAAGCAGCAGGGCCCCTGGCCTTCACGGTCTTCATAGAAATAAAAATGTTACTAATCAAGGTAGCAGTAGGAGAAAGAGGGATGTTGTTTTTTGAGCACCTGCACTAACCTAACACCAGTGCCCAGAACTGTCAGGGAGGCAAGGCTCCAGGGATGGACCCTGTCTGGCAATGAGAAAACCGGAGCTCAGGTATGCTCAGGGCTTTTGCACATGCTGTTCCAGCTGCCTAGAAGGCTCCCCACCAGACCCCCCGCGGCTCCTCCCCAACCTCCTCCAGCCATCAGGCAACTTGGCAGTGAGGCTCCTCCTGACCATCAACTTGAAATATCAACCCCTAGACATTTACCATCCACTTCCCACTGGGCTGTCGATTGTTTCCCAGCACCCCACACACAGCCTAGTGTGGAGCTGTGCTCTCTGAACACCTGTGTAAGGCACCTAGCCAAAGGCTCGCGTATTTCCTGATGGTGCGGTCCTGAACAAGCTACCCAACCCTTCTGAACCTCTATGTCCTCGTCTACAAAGTAGGCTGGCCCCACCTGCCATCTCACCAGGTTACTGGAAGATTTAGAGAGGTGAGGAAAACCACCAAAAAAGAAGGTATGTGAACATATCCAGCCTAGAATAAAGCTTATAAAGAATAAACATAATACAGACCAATACTAGCAAAAGAGCACTGCTAGATGCCCAGGGAGCCAGGCCCCTTCTCCCCAAATCCTGTCCCCAGGACGTCAAGGTCAGAGAGGTGGTGCAATGATGTTTCATCCAGCTGCTGACAGTGAGCAGAGCCCTAACAATAGCAGGACACGTGTGGGCAGGAGAGGAGGGGCCTCTGCCACCGTCCCTGCCACTGTCCCTACCACTGTCCCTACCATGGTTCCCCACAGTGCTGGAGGCTGCCACATCTCTGCTGCCCCCTTGTGGCAACAGCTTCATCCCACAGTCCCACATCCTGGAAGGGTGCCGGTTGCAACCAGGCTCCACAATCCCACGCCCCAGTGCCAGCACAGGATGGGACCAGGATGGGACCGAGAGAGTGAGCGCTAACCCCGGCTCTGCCACTTACCAAACAAGAGGCTTCAGGGAGCCACTGCCCTGCGTTCACTCATTCATTCAGTCATCCCTGCAGCCCTTCCTCCCATGGCTGGATACTGCATCGAACCAAGCCAGGCCCTGCCTCCAGGGGACCTGCATAACACTCTCTGTGTGCTTGCGGGTGGCAAGCAGGGGGCAGGAGCAGACAACAGTGGCATGATTTGTAACCAAGGGTTTCAAAGAAAAACAGAGGATGGGGTGGGATGGGGCATCAGGAGTGGGGAAGCCAGCCATTTCAGGCAGAGTGGCCGGGAAGGTCTCCCTCAGGAAGGGGCATCCAAGCAAAGGCCAGCAAAAAGCAAGGGAATGAGCCACGCACACGACTGGGAGAAAAGTGCTCCAGGCGGAGGGAAGGGCAAGCACGAGGACTCTGAGGCTGGGCTGTGCCTCGCACGCTTGTGGAGCAGGCGGGCCCAGCCAGGTGGCCTGAACAGTGAGAGTGAGAGGGAGAGCAGGACACCACGGAGATCAGGAGGTGACAGGGACAGGTCACACGGGGCCTTGTGCGCCACAGAGAGGATTCTGGCTCTTACTCTGAGTGAGGTGGGAGCCGTGGAGGGTTCATGAGGAGAAGAGGGGCATAACATAGCTCTGTTGTTCATAGGCACCGCCTGGGAACTGGGAGACCAGGGTGGGGGTGAGGGTGGGGGTGAGAAGTGGGAATTCTGGACAGACCATGAAGGTGGAGGCAGCAGGATCTGCTCATGATTTGCATGTGGAGGTAAGAGGAGGGGAAGTCTGAGATCTCTACCTGAGCCCCACAAGGGTGCAGCAGTGAGTAGGAGACCGGTGGGAGGGGCAGGCACCGCGGTTCCAACCTGCATGAGCTGCCAGGCAGGCACAACGCACGGGACCTAGCGCCCAGGTCACCAGAGCCAGGAGCCTGGGCCCCTCTTTACAAACCGTCTTTCCCCATCTTTACAAACAGAGCCAGCCCCGTGCTTCCCAGGCTCTTCCCATCTGGGAGCCTGACTCAGTGGCTTCAAGGTAGAGGACCACGTCTAGTACTTGGGACAAGGGGCTGGAAGAGGCCAAAGAATCAGCATGGATTCAGGGTCACCCTCAGCACCTCCCACTTCTGCACCTGGAACCTCCTCACATCCTAAGATGGGACCCGCTTGACGGGTATGGATGAGGACAGTGGGCCTGGAACTTCAAGTTTCCCAGCCCCCTCTCCTTATCCTCTCTCATCCCTACAGTGGCCAAGGGAGCAGGAGCCATGAGCTCCACTTCCCAGATGAGGAAGTCAACCCAAGTCATGCACGTTCCTAGCCCAGACCCCCCAACACAGTCTTCTGCGACCACGCCCCCACCAGGACATGCTCTGCAGTGGCCCCTACACAGAGGTAGCACAAGGCAGGACACCTGCCTCCAGCAGGCTCTCTGGGACACCACAGGGACCACCTGCCAGGAAAGGGCCCTCAAACTGGGCTGCCAGATGCTGGGCAGCCTGGCAGTACCCAGCCAGTGCCTGCAGGGGGACATCTCCCAAGGCTGGGGCATAAGAGGCCCACTGGGGTGCAAACCCTGCTCTGAGTAACCTAGGACTCCAGGCAAAGATGAAAATGGCCCGACAGGTCCTTCAGCCAGCCAGCCCAGGCACTCGACTCCCAGAGTTCCCACAGCCACCAGGCACAGGGGACGCCACACCCAGGGGATGGAGGCCTGGCCCATCCCGGCACCTGGCCAGCTAACCAACTTCCCAAATGCAGAGGGCGGAGTGAACTTGCCCAGACTCAGAGGCTCAGCACTCTCGGCTTCCCTTCCCTTACACTTTCCAGAAATATCAAAGTCACAGTGCTCCTGCCAGGGCAGCTGAAAAGACCTCAGACTCAGCTGCCAGGAAGCCAGCAAAGGCCACACCTGCTCAACCAGAAATACCTCCTTTCCCAATGGCCTCGCCTTGTGATCCCTTTTCTCCGAGGAGCCCAGGACAGCTGTGCTGTGGGTGGAATGTCATCACCCAGGCGGGGAAGGGCAGAGAGGCTGACCACCCATTCCCAGGCACCCAGCCAGCCAGCTCCCACCCCCACACCCAGCAGCCAGATGAGGGGCGCCAAGGTCTGAATGCCAATGTCCCTAGGCTGTGGGACCCAGGGCCAGGGGAAGCTGGCACAGTAGCTCACCAGCACCCACAGCCCACGCACCTCCCTAGGAGGTTACAGGCTGGGCCTGTTCCATTTGGAAGTACCATGATCCCGGCCTTGTTCCAAGTACTGTGCTGAGACCTTCATTGGCAAAATTCACCTGGCCTCACCTGGGCCTGTGACCCCTGTTAGGCGGCTCACAAGGGGGCCCTTGCCCAAGACACGTGACCAGGAAGTGCCAGAGCCAATGTCAACCCAGCCTGCTTGGGCCCACAGCCCCTGCTCACCACCACAATGCAATACAACCTCCACTCCGAAGAGCAGGACTAAATGCTAACAGAAAAAGGAAAACCCTGGATTGGATTATCGGGAAGGCCGCCCTCTCTCTGCTGACACTCCAACTTCAGCACATCAGTCTGGACGGCCTGGACTCAGCAAAACGGGCCACCTCCACGGGGAATGCCCTGCAGGGGAAAGGGAGGACTGAGCCGGCTCCTGCCTCACCCCAGCCTCCCCTGGCTCCAAAGTCGGGGTTTATGGAGGGCAAAGGCCCATCACCTCCTGTCTCAACACTTCCGGCACATCTTCCTGTCACACACTAAAGCCATCAACAGGCCCAGAAAGCAGTGCCACAGGTGGGCCAGAGCCTGTCCCACTTTTCCTGTCTGAGCCTTGGCTTCTCCATCTGTCAATGGGAAAATTCGTAAGAGGACCTAACACAGATGACTCCTGTGACACACGTGGCGGAAGCCCTGCCCAGTGGTCCTGAACCCTGCCTGCGTGTGAGACAACCCAGGCGAGGAAATCAGGATGGGGCCCAGGATCCATAGCTTCAAAAGCTTCCAGGTGGTAGATGGAGGCAACCTCCCAGCCTGGGCTGCCTTCCTCAAATAGACCCCATCCTCTGGAAGAAGTCCAACTGACATGACCCTCCCAGGCCCTCCCAGGCCCTCCCAGTGGGGCCTCAGCCAACCCCTAAGCTCACCCCTCACCCCCCCACCCCCTCCCCTGGGTGTGAGCACACAGCGCCCACCACCACCAGCTCCCTTTTAGATCAGCAGTTACACCACTCAGAGAGGAGGAGGCCAAAATGCGGAAGCTCAAGTCATCAGCCCAAGGGCACATGGTCCACAAGCTCCAAGAGCAGGATCTCATCTGTTTGTGCTGCTTAGGAACTGGATATTCTTCTTCCAGGGCTGTCCCAGGACCTAGATCCCCAGGGGATGGCCCAGATCTGCACCCCTGTACCCCATGGCCAGGTTGGTGACCACATGTGGTCTCTGTATCTCTGAGCAGGAAAGCACTGTCAGATCAGAAAGCTGGAAGAGGCCAGAGATGCTGACCCATGCGGGCGGACACAGCCTGATCAGAGCAGCAGGAGGAACTCATCCGGACCGAACCGGCGACCTGTGCCCAGCACTCCCAACCCAGGTGCCGAGGGCAGGTTAGTGAACACTGGGGAGCTCAGCTTGCAGAATAGCTGCTCTGGGATCCACGTGGCCAGTCTTAACCAGGGAGCAGCAGCTAACGCCTCCCACACACACACAACATGCCAGACAAGAAGGCATGTCCTCCACGTGAATTATCTCCTTTACTATTAATCCCCTTTTGCAGGTGAGTGTTATTCATTCCCTACATAAATCTGACTGAACACCTACTACACACGAGGCACTGTTAAGGACTCTAGGGATTCAGCTGTGGAAGGAGACAGAAATCCTTGCCCATGCAGAGCTGACATTTAGTCAGGGAACAGAGGCAACTAAACAGTTACACATAACATATTACAAGATGACATCTACCATAGGAAAAGGAAATGGGGGTGGCAGGTGAAGGGGGGTACAGCTTTATATAAAGTGGTCAAGAATGGCCCCCCTGAGCGGACACTGAGCCAAGCCCTGGAGGCGGTGAAGGAAAGAGCAGTCCAGAGACCTAGGGGAGCAGCCAGGCGGAGAAGCGGCCGTGCAGCGTTGCCGGGTGCCTGGCGTGCGAGAGCTCGGCCCCTGTGACTAGAGGGAGGGGCGAGGGCGGGAGTGGGAGGAGGTGAGGGCAGCGTCGTGATGGGTGGTGCAGGGTGTTCTGGGCCGTGATGGGTGGTGCAGGGTGTTCTGGGCCGGGTGCGGACTTCAGGTGTGGACTTCGGCTTTTACTCCAAGTGAGGTGGGAGCCATGGAGTTCTGGGCAGAGCAAGAGCACGACCTGACTTGGGCTCTTAAAGGGTCTCTCTGAATGGTAAGGAAGTAAGCATAGAAGTAGGCCATGGGAACAATGGTCATGGAAAAAGGATGGCGCAGACCAAGGGGTCAGCAAACTAGGGCCCACAGGCCAATTCTGCTCCACCGCACACCTCCAACAAGCTTAAGAGTGGTTGGAAAAATCAAAAGCAGCCCATTTCATGACATTCAGATGTCAATATCCACAAAGTTGTACTGGCACACGGCCATGCTCGTTGACTGGCGGATCATCTAGGGCTGCCTTTGTCACAACGGCTAGCCCATTAGGCAGGCGCTCCTCCGCTGTTTTTCTGAAAGCGAAGACTGGGAACCCAGTCCTGGGACTGGCAATGGGACCTGGGTCCCCAGGGACTGGCGTCACTCACTTTCTCACCCGCACGCAGGTGGTCCCTGACAACGAAACGGCATGGCAGGCGTTACCAGGTCAGGATGGGAGATCCAGGCCCCACCTCCCAGTACAGCCTCAGCTCACTGGGCTGCCCATCTCCGGGGCCTCTACCTGGCCCAAAGGAGCTCCAAACTAGGTCATCAAACCTCAGTACATGAGAGTGAGCAGCGGGCTCTACCTGAGGGTGACTGTGGCTGCCTCATGCATAGCAATCCTGTGCTCCTCAGGGGCAGCTGGCCCAGGGCAGGGAACCCCCACCTATGAGAAGCCCTGGCCTGCGCCCACAGAGCGAGGATGTGCTTGCTGCGCACAAACATCATTGTACATCACTGAGAGGGCTCAATGATGTACAGAGGGCATCGGAAACCCCCAAAAGCCTTTTTCTGCAGACAAATACTTCCCATTCTTCATTCTCTCAGCAAACACTTGCCGAGCCCATCCATGTGCAAACCATGATGGGTGCTGGGCTCTAGGATGAGTAGAAAGACCTATTAGTGACAGCAGGGTGCCGGGCAATGTTCCAGGTGATGGGATACAACAGCGGGCACAGCCAAGAGAGACCATAACTGCCACCCCCCCATGGACCTGCTCATGCTCAAGGGGAACACAGGCAAAGCATTTACCATGTAACACGAGGTCAGAATGTACTAGGTGCCATAAAGAAAACAAAAGGCAGCACTGGCTGGTGTGGCTCAGTGGATTGAGTGCAGCATGCAAACCAAAGGGTCGCCGGTTCAACTCCCAGCCTGGGTTGCAAGCCAGCTCCCCAGCAGGGAGCATGCAAAAGGCAACCACACATTGATGTTTCTCTCTCTCTCTCTCTCTCTCTCTCTCTCTCTCCTTCCCTTCACCCTCTCTAAAAATAAGTAAATAAAATCTTATAAAAAGAAAAAAAAGGAAGAAAGAAAACGAAGGTGAGAGGACCAGAGTGCCACGGGAGGGCTCAGGGAAGGCCTTTTTAAAAAGTATGATTTGAGCTAAACCATAATGAGGCTCCCCAAGGCTCCCTGGGGGAGGTGCAAAGGCCCTGAGGCAGCACAGAGCGTCCCAGGGCTCAGGAACATGGAGAGGCTAGAACAAAGTGAACTTGAGAGCAAACAGCTGAGGAGGAGGCTGGAAAGGCATCGCAGACTAGCCCTTCAGGAAGGTGCTGGAGTGCGACAACCTGTTCTGGGTTTGAGAAGGATCCCTTCCACTGTGGGGGGCTAGGGGCGAGGGGAGAGACAAGCATCCAGAGACAGCAGTGAGAGTCTCAGAAACAACCCAGGCCAGAGACTATGGGGACTTGGACTGGGGCATAAAGGCAGCAGCTGGTGAAAACAACACCCTAGTTTCTGGATTCTGAGGTGTCACGATTCAAAACAAGCTGGCAACTTTTAAGAGGGAAAAAAAAACTATGTCAATATAAGATACATGTATCAATCGTAAGAGGCATCACTACTTAAGAAACATGAAAATGCTGAGGGGAAAAATGTGCACCTTGGAATGAAGACAGAGTAGTAACAAATGCAACAGAGGGGTACAGGGTTTCTGAAATGTTTAATAGCCCTAGCCACATCTACCAAGGGAAAGGTACACTGAAAGATGTCAGCCCTTCCTGATGTAGCTGTTGAGAGAGGGGTCTGGGAAGACGCCCATGGCTGTCTTCCCACCTGTGAGCCCTACGGGTTTCTGCTGGTTTCTCCCTGCCCTTCTGGCTGAAAGTGAAATAAAGCGATAGGAAAGGGATCTAGGAGTCTTGACATGGACGTCCTTCCCCATGCTTTCTCCCCGGATGGTGCACGTTCCCAGGCCCAGCAGGGAGACTCAGAAGGGGTTTCACAGCACTGGACATGGTTCTGTCACTGAGACCCCAGGTGGGCCGCAGAGTGGCGGGCAGTGAAGTTCTGGGCCGGTCTAGAGGATGGAGCCCGGCAGGAAATATTCCTGGAGACTGATGATCAAGGTTTTTAGCACTTCCCACAGGATCCCCATCTTATCCTTACAGGACAACTCAGAATTCGGGTAACTTTGGGTCAAAAAAGATGGCCAAACTCCAAAGTAACTAAAGATGAACAGTAACCCAGCTTCACAACAGAAGGGGGCCCATGCTAATGCAGCGAAGCTACGCACTCTTCAAGCCAGAAATTCCAGTCCATAAAACAGCCATGCACCTCATGAGCATGTAAAGATCCTTCCCCCTTGAGTTGCAGTGCCTGGGGTAGGGGTGGGGGTGGGGGAGTAAAGGTGACAGGGCTAACGGCCTGGGCCTGCCCTGTACCTTGCTCTGTAGGACGGTGTCTCTAACAGACGCACAGGATCACGCACTCCACAGTCTGCTGAGCCCTGCTGGGAGCCAGCGACGAACAGGAGAGCAGAGAGGAGGGGCTCACACAGGCTCGCTATCAGAGGGTGCTAAGTCCATGCGGAAAGCTAACCAGGAGAGCTGACAGCGTGGCCTGGCTGAGTCAGAGGGAGTCTAGAAGGAGAAAACTGAAACCTGAGTGACAGGATTCCCAGACAGGATAAGCAGAGCAGCCTCTCCCCTACCCATCCCAGCACTGGGCCTACCCAGCCCAGCTCCAGCCCCACCCCCAGCCTCGAGGCTGTTAGACTTGAATCTCTGGAGCAAATGGTATTCAACAATATACAGTTTCAGACTATACATCTCCCCAAGAGTCCTGATATCACCTCACCCCGCCTCAAGAGATTTGCTCCCCCAACCCCACCTCCTGAGATGCCTTGATGCAGCAGCCTCCCTGCCCTTTCTTGAGTTAGACTCCTGAGGTGCCTGGGAGACAGCTCTTCCCCGTAAGGCCAGAGGCTCCATCCGTGACCCCCCTCAAGTTTCAACCTGCTTCCTGATGTGAAGCTCTCCCGCTGCCGATGTTAAACCGCCCTGCCCCAAACGTGGCCAACCCACACCCACCCTGAGGTCAGACGCTGTTCCCGTGGGCTCCACCACACAACCGGCATGGCCCTGACTTGTGCTCCCTGGTTGCTTTAAACAGGAACGAAAAAGACTTCAGAAGGGCCCAGAGCACAGCACAAACCCTGCAGTCTCCTGGGATACTGAGTGGCCTGGGGACTCTGCTTATATAACAGCCTGGTTCGAGCAGGGACAGGGACAGGGCTGTGCCAGCCTGCAGTCACTGCAAGCTACTGAGAGGCCCTTTATCCCTCCAAAGTCTGGGATAGGCTCCTGGCCCATCTCTAACCAACTGCTTGTCAATAAGGAAGTACCCTGAGTATTTACATAACAGAGCAACAAGAGGGTCCCAAAGGACTTAAAAATAAACAATCCTCTGGAAGTTAACCTTTTAGGTAGAATCAACAGGAAAAAGGGACTACCATCACCCTAGGGATAAAGTCCACAGGCATCTGGGTGGCTACAGAGCCCTGCCTGGCAGGCCTCATCTCTTGATGGGGAACACCCACGGAAGCCTGGCTGCCAGGCCTCTGCACACACTGTTCCCCTCCCCCTCCCTCAGGCCTCACTGAGGTGAAAAGACTGAGGACAGAGGCTCTGATTCCCTCTTCCCAGTGTTTGGGCATGTAATAGGTAAAGGGGGAAAAAAATATGTTGAAAAGAGTGCACTTATAAAGAAATGATAGAGTGGAAACAGACAAGCTAAGCCCTAGGGCAGGAGATCCCCTGAACCAGCAGATCCTGCCAGGCAACTGTGTGGGGCGGGGCGGGGCGGGGCGGGGCAGGCCCAGGTGCAACCTCAGCCCCTTTGGGAAAGGGTGGGATGAGGAATAGGTCCCCTGAGATGGGCGAGACCCCGAGCATGTGGTCAGGGAGCCCTAAGAAGCTGCTTTCCCTAGGTCAGGACCCCTAAGGAC